TTGGGGGAAATTTGGTCAGAGGTTAAGCATGAAACAATCCAAGTTCTTTCATGAATCTGAATTTGACAAGTTTTTTAAGCTTCTCTCAGATCCTACTAAAGTCCCTCATAACTTTCACATTATATCCAGGGACACCCTCCAATTCGAATGGAGTAATCATCACTTGTTCATGCCTTCAGATTGCAAAACAAATATATTTTTAGCAAGTTTTACTACTGCACATGCACGTTTACGCTTATTTAGTGTATTAGATCGATTGGGGGAGAACGTGCTATACTTTGATACAGATAGTGTGATTTTTAAAACTCTCAAGTCTGACGACTTACATAATCTTCCTATTGGAAATTATTTAGGGGAACTGACGAACGAAATCACACCAGAAGATGGTCATATTGTAGAATTTGTGTCAGGGGGCCCCAAAAATTATGCATATCGCACGCTCTCGGGTAGGGAAGAATGTAAAGTTCGTGGTTTTACGTTAAACTGGACAAATTCCAAAGTCATTAATTTTGAAGCCATCAAATCCATAATTTGTACATCGCAGGATAAGCAGATTGAAATTATCAACCCCTGTAAAATATCTAGGGACAGTCGAAAAAGAAAATTGTTAAATCGAACAGAAACCAAGCGATATCAAATGGTTTACACCAAGAGGAGAATTCTACCCAATCTAGATACACTGCCATTTGGATTTTGTTAAAACCATCTTAATGAAGACTATGTACATTTTCTTTCTTTATTATCTACACCAAGATTAAATTACATGTATGTATTATCATTATTAATTCTTTGAATCATTCACAATAAAGGTTCTTTGAACAAGAAAGTTTTGTTTGGTTCAATTTCACAGTCAGTATGAAAGCCATGGAATGTGTTTCCTGCGTCGTTTCATGGGCACACCAGGAGGTTTTCCTATTGTTTTAGTTTTACTGACGTAGCCACTGCCCGTCTGTGAGGCTTCGTCGACTGATTCACTCCTTGTCGTATCGGTCAGGGTGTTTTCAGTTATCAGTTGTCTCTGATCGTCATTCACAATGTCTGGCTTAACAGGTTGCTCGTTCTTCCCGATTTTTTTAAGTAGATGTTCGTATTTTAATTTAGGCACTAGTATCATTTCTCTCGCCATTTTGGTCTAAATGATGAACGATAGGCTTCAGTAACAGGGACAGTAATGGTAGATGTTTCAATAAAATTCCACGCTTTTGCTTAGAAGTGACTTCTCTTGATCCCAGTGATCGAATGTACGAATGGTAAGGTTTCAGTTGATTTATATACTTCTTACTCAGGGGATAAGTTCCCGTGTATATATTCAGGGCTATTTCACTGATGACATCGTATTGTTCACTAGTCAAATACTTGATAATCATTCTCTGTTGAGCAGTGTTTGCACTTAGCATAAAAGAGAGAAATGCTCTCTGCTTCCGTATTCTTCGATTCATATTGGTATTCTGAATAAATTAAGATGAATATCATGTATTTATAGGGGTTGGTAAATTACCATGTCCTCTCCTGGCAAGATGTTAGATCTCAACTGGTAGTCTTTATTTTGTGTAGGTTCTAGACAAACGTGCAAATAACCAAAATTTAGACGTGTTGCTGCTTCGTATGCTGCTTTGAAATATGGTACACTCCCAGGTAATATTTGTGAACCGAATGTGATGACCTGGCGAGAATCGCGGTAATTCCTGAATAAAATCACATTTAGACAGTTCAGGGATATCGTCCTGGCATATTTACCGGGCGGGTACAAATTTTGAGAGAGCATCACGGTGGTAACGTTACGGTGATGGGAAGTGACCGTAAATAAATGTACGCAATCTTGAGATTGCGCAACTTGCAGCATAAGATCGTCTAATACGACTATCGTGTGGTTTACACCCTCTGTATACTGCTCTATATCTTCCTTGGATGGTAATCCTTGATGAAGAATGAGTCTCGGTATGCTTGACATCATTTCGTCAAACATGGGTTGATATTCAGAATAGGCATAAATGATTTTATCAGCAGGAGTGGAAAACATACCATCTGCATGTTGCAGAAGTCGTTTAGTGAAATGTGTCTTTCCGCTTTGTGTACTACCACAGATTAATATCGTAGTGGGTGATGAAAATGGTAGTAGGGATTTAATTTTCCACCATTCGTTTTCTGTGTCCATCCTCCTCTTCCACTATCTGATTCTCTAATGACTAAACTGGTAAACTGAATAAGTATTTATAAGAAGTCAACTATGTAATGCATTGTATTTATTTATTGATACAAATATTCCTGTATAAAACTACGTACAAAGTTATCATTTAGTTGAATGTTACTAGAAAATAATGCATAAACTCTTGGTAAAGATATTTTTAGACACAGTCTAGATATTAAAAACACAAGTACATAAAGACCACACAAATCTGAATAGGAAGGTTGAAGTCGTTCACATTTAAAGTTGCAATGTTTACTATTCTTATAAATGAAGTTTTCAATTTCTTGGTAATTCCCTGGAGGTTTCCCGAGGCTGTCAAAAAATTCTGCCACCGAGGAACTGTGTATGATTACAGCAACCCAATGTTCCCCTCGAAGTGGTAAAGGCTGTGTATTGATGATAAAGGCACTAGGGTAATGTGTCACGACTGTCGGCACGGTATTGCTGGCATACACTCCTCTCACTAATCGTTTAAGGATAGGTTCGTTGTGGACTAGATCGAGTAGCTGTTTCGAATTCATGGTTGAATGTAATTGATGTCCCGGGTCTTGTCAACTTCTAGTAGAGAGGAAAAGGTGGCAAACACCAAGACGTTGGCTGCTTTTGCTGTTGCTTGCTTGAACTTTAGTTCGAGTCTGGTGTTTCCCCGACGAATCAGGTTTAAATATTCTTCACCAAACCCACAGGGGTCTATGGTAAAGACAAACAGTGAATATCCACTTGCAAAGTTGTCTCGAGTTATTATCAGACCAGCGTCTTGATTCCATTTTCCAGAGGCCTCAAAGAGTCGAGCATATGCTGACGAATAATGTCCTGCCGTGAAATCGGTTTTTAAGGGTCTACCTGGGACGCTTTCTCCGTTTACGTATATCCCTACATCTGTTAAATCAAAGTGTTCGAAATTAAATGGATTAGTTGTGTAGTCTCCATTCACAGCCTTCTGATCTACCAAACCCACAACGATACGATCGGGTATCGCCTGTGGGAAAATGTTGTCCCAGTAAAATTCTGTAGATCCTTTAGGAATGGTGTTCATTTTCAATTCATTTCTTGAGATGGTGTACTTCACAGGGTTAGATTCTATCTGTTTGCTGTGGTTCAACAGAACACCTGGATCGACTCTTACTTTGGCCACTTTGTACATGACATCTAGTAATTCGAGTTTGTAAGCCGGAGTGCTCTGTGCCGACATTATTAGAAAAGGTGCACTAGATCTAAAGAGCTTGATATAGATGTCCACACCATTGATCAGGTATTTATCGATGTCAAAAATATCCTCCATTAGATTACCCTCCAGTTCAAATACTTTACTTTCTTGTGTATAGCCATAGCGCAAGACTAGTCCAGCATTACCACCGTTGTAAGCGTTAGCGTCACCCAAATTTCCTTCCTCCTTGAAAAACAACTGGGACTGCTTCTGGGAAGATAATTCTTCTTTTCCGCCAAACAAGACTGTTTTCAGGTAAGCCTTCCAAGGATAATTGTTTGTGTTAAAGGAAACCAACTTGTTGTTTAAGTAGACGTCCATTTGAGAAAACATGCTTTGTAACGGTAAATTAACGATCCCAGTCTTTTCATTGGCTGCTAATGCGGTACCATCGGCTTTTAAAATTCTGGCTTTTATATATAATCGACTTCTCTTTAAATCGATGTATTCAGCTCCTGATCCTGATACGACTATTTCTATGGGAGTGTCAGACACTCCAATACTGGAAATTGGCCTGGCTTCCGTAAAGTATACCTTCTCCACTGCTACTTGATTAGTCGGGGAAGCAAAAAGAGACAGTTCCATGGGTTGCGCTATGTCTTTATCCTCATTGCTTAAGAAGGCCATTTTTACTGTTTAAAGACGTTTTTGTAACTGTCAATTTTAAAAGTTTTATGCTGTTTGTTCTGAGACTTTTTCTTACTGGATATCTGTAGTTTCTTAGATCTTCTGTTTGTTTTCTTTTTCGTTGCAAAAGGTTTTTTCTTTGGGGTAATTTTTTCCGTTTTCTTCCTCTTCTGCGATGTTGACGTCTTCAACTTTTTTGAAGGAATGACAGAGGACTGCTTCCTTGGTCTTTTTATACCCTTGCTGACTTTGACAAAAGGGACACCTTTTTTCACATCCTTTAGGTGTTCTGTCTTGGCTCTTTCTTCCACGGCAGCCACGGGTGTCACTTGAGGAATGGGGTTTACAGGTTCTAACTGTGAATGGGGTCTAATGGGTATGACGTAAGATTTTCGACTTCTCATACCTCTTCCTATTTGTTTAGGTTTATATTTGTATGGATTAAATTTTTTCTCGGCCATATTTTTGTAAAAGGCCTCCCAGATTTTAGGGTCACTGATGTACGTCTTGCTGTTCATCATAAAACGTAGGGAAACTTCTTAAAGTGAAGTGTAACGCTCACCGGTCCGTCTAAGAATGACACTAAGTTACCTGCTTTATCCGTTATATATATACAGATCTGTTGTAATTGACCGATCTTCACTGGGACGTAATAGGGTAATTTGTAGATGATGTTGGTTTCCTGCTTCTCTCCAAGATATACTCTACGTAGGAGGGGCATGTCCTTACCGCCCACAAAGGTTTCTTCACATATGTCACAGCATATGAACACCTCTCGAGATTTTTTGTTCGAATTCCAGCTTTCTGTTGTAAATTCTGTCAGAGCGACCGTCCAATATCCATCTAATTGCACTTGTTTATTCAACTGAATTCGAAAACAATTCGATTTATTGTCAAAATATTCCGAGCTGTCAGTAGAGCTTAACACCATTCGAAGACTCATTTTGACTGATGATGATTCGTTGAAGAGATCTGTATTTATTTGGTTTTTTCCAGAGAACTTTCGAGAATCCAAGAATTGAATTTATTAGGCCATCCTTCCCATTTTACGTACACCTCCTTTGTTTTACCGCGTTTTCTCTTTCTCAGCACCTTTTCGACTCTGTATAGAATATCTCCCGACTTCACGACTTTTTGAAGTTCCGATTCATAAAAAGTACCCTCAATTGGATCCTCGGCCAAATCTTTTATTTTGTACACAGGTATACCATCTCTCTTGTATCGATTAGACACTTTGAAAAACTCTTCAGTCCATTTCTGCTGGTAATCTCTTTGGAAAGAATGTTTCAGTTGTGAAATACGTACGTCGTCTCCTATTTTGTACTTAAAAACTCTTTTATTCCTTTTTGTACTCATCGATTTCTTTGGTTTTTCTAACTTGGTTGTATTCTTTTTCTTTGTGCTCAAATAGGTAAGAAGTCTTATCTCATCTGCATTTTCCTTGTTGACAGTCGCAGGTGCATGCTCACCAAGAGATCTGTGGGGTCTTTGATTATAACTATTGACTAAATCTTGCAAAACATCGATATAACGATAAGTTCTGTTCTTTATAAAGTAACGATACATTAGGTTTTTCATGGTACGGATTACTCTTTCAGCATAATTTGCTTTGGTTTCGTTCTGAGTGTATATTGTGTGAACACCTTCTTGTTTCAAAAATGACTTTACCCAACGATTTTTAAATTCACTTCCTTTATCGGTTCTAAGAGTATGCGGCTTTCGTCCTGTTTGGAAAGCAGATTTTAGCCCATCGACAATATTTCTGTGCTGCTTATTTTTCAATGGTACTATGAACAGAAAGCGACTGAATATATCTATCAACACCAACAAAAATTTGTTACCATCATTCTGAGAAGAAATATTGCTGACATCGGCTAAATCACCATCCCACATCGAATCAATGGTGTTCACTACGACCTTCGAGCGGGGAAATGAACGACGAATAGGTTTCATTAAACTGTAAGGATCTTCGTTGTTCAGAAATTGTCTAATTCTTATTCTTCCTATTTTATACTTTCCATCTTGTTTTACGGCTTGATAAAGTTTTTCTGGACCTCCAAATGCGCCTGGAGTTCCGGGGGTATAGTAAATTTTTCTCAAATAGTCTGTGTACTTTGACATCCTGTACCTGACTGATCATTTTATCTTGATTGTATTGTATTATGTACCAAAAAATCAAAAGTCATCTTTTTTACGTGTGCATACTTTTTTTATTATTATTATTATTATGAATATCATGATGACATTATACATATACATGCAACAGACTTTATTCACATGAGATAGACAATTTAATCATTGGTACAGTTACTCATTGTCACTTTCAATTGACAGCGCGTCTTGTAAGTCATCGACATTACATTCCAGGGACACATTTTCTTTAGGCTCATATCCGAATGGAGTACACTCTGGGCAATTCAACATCCCAAGCTGATTTTGATGGGACTCGCTAAATGCACAAAGCTCTGTGTCATTTAATTCGGGAACACATTCCCGTACTTCCTCGACGGCTGACAGTAATTTGGTCAATTTGTGTCTGTTCAGGGTCACACCTTTCCTGGTTGGAACTGGTTCCTGGGCGTCAGCTGGCTTCCAATAGTGCCTTATATCCAACGTATTATACCCCGGGGTAATGGAGACGTACACTCCTCCTCCTATATGCCATTTCATTTCTTCGCCTGATCTGTTTTGCAGGTGATTTCGGATATCCGGAAGAATGGATTCAAACATCAACCATCTAGACAACGGAAATGTTACTCCCTTCTTTGTGGGAAATAGACCATTGTTGGTCTCTGTAAAGTGGCGTATGTGAATATTGATGTTGTCTTTGAAAGACACGGCTGTGAGGAAAACTGCGTTGAAATCATCTAGACTGATTCTACATCGCACGTCTTGAGATATTTGCCGTGCTACAGGGTCACTCTTTGGTTTGTTTTCAACATACTGTTTTTCGACCGAGTTCAAAACCAAAGATCGTGCCATGGCTAACTTCTTTTCATACTCGGACATAGTATCTTCACTGTCTGTGAGAAGCTTGGATAAATCTGTTTGGCCGGCTTTCATCAGAGCTATTCGGAGGCTTCTGAATGCTTTTGGTCCTCTCCGAAGAATGATACTAAGAAGTCTTCTGTTTTGATCGTAACTGGTCTTCTCTGTCTCAATTTGTTGTTTCATCTCGTCTGTTATAATGTTAGAGTCATACAGATGTCTGACAACTGAAGAAGCCTTCATTTTCTTCACCAGAGTCGAGTAGTTCATTTTTATAAGGTCTTGATGTTTTTGCTCCATATCTGTTGAAACGATGTTGCACCTAGTAAGATCAGTTAAGATATGATGAAAAAATGTTTACAACCACTACGGTTTTATAGCAAATTATCCAGTGGATTTGCTGACCGTAGACGGCCCTAGGAGTGACCTCAAGCGACCCTTTAAGAGTGGTGACCTCAGACGGCCCTAGGACTGGTGACCTCAGGAGCGGTGACCGCTGACAGCCCTATAGGAGGGATGACCTCAGACATTTTTATTTCATTTAATTTTGAACGGAGGATTGGTGACAATAATATCTCAGCTTGTTCAATTTTCCTTTTAAAATGTGCTCTATCGATAGCATACTGCATCCATATTCCCTTCCGTTCTTCATATGGTATTGATATAATTTGTACATGATTGTCAAATTGTGCTTTCTTTTGTATTTTGTCCATCTTCTTAATTGTGTATTTTCTTATAAATAGTATTTTTTTGGCATTACTCGACGTTTCAGTAGGTATTCCTCTGATCCCCAAGAGTCTGCGACATCGTACCCTTCTTTCATTTTTTGTTTAAAATCAGTAATACAGTCTTTCTTTTTGTCAAACCATTTGCTCTCTAAAAGTGTCCATTTATTCTCATCTCTTCTAATACAGTTCCAAGCTAGAACTTTCCACTTATACTGTGTAAGGTGTTCACCCATGGCTAAAACGAGGTTTGTAGTAAAATACTGGATATATATATATACTTTGATGGAGTGACCCCAGACGGCCCTAGGAGAGGTGACCTCAGACGGCCCTAGGGGGTGGTGACCCTAGACGGCCCTAGGGGTAGTGGGTGCCTCTAAAGTGCCCTCAGACTACCCTATGAGTGGTGACCCCAGACGGCCCTAGGGAATGGCGGTGCCTCTAAGGTGCCCCCAGACTACCCCCCTTACTACTGGAATGAGATATAAATGCCGATATTGTTCTAAATTCTACGTCACCCAGAAAAATAGAGACAAACACGAGAAGGCCAAACACGACATGTATGCTCCTCCTCCTTGAGAGTATAAAAAGGGGAGAAACCTAGGACATGTCCTCATTTTAACCCCAGGATGGCTAAGAAGAAGAAGAAGAAAAGATGCTGTTCTACACGATTAAAACCTCATTGGCCTCTTTTAAGAGTGTTATCAGACCCTCACTATTCCTCTCCATTAAAGACGGGTATTTTAAAACATTGTTCTGGAGATTGTATTCTCAAAATCTGCGAGATTGTTTACAACCTATTAAAAGGAGTGTTACCTCTTAGTTCGGCTCATAAACGAAAACTAGCTCCTAAGAAACACATCTTCAGGAGACTGGTCAAACCTCAATCTGTTCAGAAACGACGAGCTTTATTACTTCAACAAAAAGGAGGAAACATTTTACCCTTATTAATCTCAGCAGCACCTTTACTGTTAGGTGCCGGTCAATCCGTCTATAAAGTCCTCAAGAAGAAGAAGAAGAAAAAAATATGAGTCGTAAAATGGTGTTAGTTCCTGAAGTCTTATTAAATGATCTCAAGGCCAAATTACCCAAACCTCCGGAATTTCAATCCACCATCAGTTTAGGTCAGGAATTGGACGAGATTACAAGACGTGAAGATTTAACCCCAGAAGAAAAAGTTGCTTTATATGGCCAGGAACTTCATCGATATAGGAATTATTTACAACAAGCTAGACAGGAACCTATTTCTAAACTGAAAATTCCGGCAGCAGCAGCTCCAGCAGCAGCAGCAGCAGCTCCAGCCTCAGCAGCAGCAGCATTACCAGCAGCTGAAATTGACGATGAAATTCTTGAAACAGTGAATAAAAACATGAAAAGAAAAGCTGGATTATTATTAAATCATTTAAAAAAAAACCCTAAAGTGTTAACTTGGAATAAAGAAGGTGAAATTAGTTATCGAGGTCAAAAAATTCCCGATTCTAACATTGTGGATTTAATGGCTGATAGTATGAGATCTCAGTCTCGTAAACATCATCCGGTTCCTACAGGATTAGAACAATTTGCTCAAGCTTTAAAAGAAACGCGTACTCCTTTAGAATACGTGAGCAATGGAAACCTTATAAAAGCCATGCAGAGACCTGGAAAAATCAGTACTCCTAAAAGTCACGAAATAGACGATAGTGGATTTTCTTCCTTTTTTGACACTCCAGTGAGTAGACCCCTAGAAGATCGAGGAACCGTCATTAAAAAATCCATTTCAACCCCTGTAGGGACAAGGGTAGGATCCAGATATAGTCCTTTAGCTCGAAAGAAATTAAAAGCCCAAGTCGAAGAAGACATTAGATCCTTTAAAGCTAAAAAGGAAGAAGAAAAGAAGTTAGGACAAATCGATGAAAATTGGCTTTCATTGCCTAAAATATGAAAAAGAAACAAGTAGAAGATATTTTAAAAGAGATTTATTATGATCCTAAAAGAGGGTACGGAGGACTACAAGCTTTGTATCGTCAGGTTAAACCTTTAGGAATTTCCCTGAAAAAGATTCGAGAATGGTTAAAAGAGCAAGATACTTATACTTTACGTAAACCCATTCAAAGAAAATTCCGGAGACAACAGACTAGAGTGACCGATATAGACGAACAATGGCAATTAGATTTAGCAGATGTGTCCAGTTTAAAGAAACATAATGATGGATATACGTTTTTATTATGTGCCATTGACGTCTTATCTAAATATGCCTGGGTAGTGCCTTTAAAACAGAAAACAGGAAAAGAAATGATTCGAGGATTACAAGAGATTTTTCAACAAGACGGTCGACGTCCCGTCCGCATTCAATCCGATCAAGGAAAAGAATTTACCAATCGAGAATTCTTACAAGCTTTTAAATCCATTCATTTTTTTACTACTCGTAATACGGACACTAAAGCTAGTATCGTGGAACGATTTCAGCGTACACTCAAAGCACGCATGTGGCGTTATTTTACTCGTCATAAAACCAGACGGTATGTAGAAGTTTTACCGGATTTAGTGTATGCTTACAATCATACCTATCATCGGAGTATCAAAAGAGCCCCAGTTCAAGTAAATGCTTCTAATGTGTTAAAAGTCTGGAAAACTTTATATGGGATATCGAATCAGAAACAATTTCTTAAACCTCAGTTTAAAGAAGGAGATCAGGTCCGCATCAGTAAAGCCAAACACACATTTGAAAAAGGATATTTACCTAACTGGACCACAGAACTGTTTACCATTTCTAAAAGAGTTCCTGGAAGGTATCCTTACGTGTATAGAGTGCAAGATTATAACGGAGAGGAATTAGAAGGGACTTTTTACGAAAAAGAATTACAAAAGATCATTAAAAAAGACGACGTGTACGAAGTGGAGGAAATCTTGGGGTATAAAAAGCGACGCGTCGGGAAAAAAATCATTCAAGAAGTCAAAGTTCGGTGGAAAGGATATCCCCCTAGTTTTGATTCATGGATTCCCCAAACGGATCTCATCAAATAACGCCTCATTGGAAATTTTGTGGAGAGAATATTCCTCGAGAAGAAATCGTTTATTTCGCCCAATTATTTATCTGTGTCTCTCTTATCATTACCAGTGTGGTCATGTTAGCTTTACATGATCCTAATCGAGAATATTGGATGGTATGTGTCAGTTCTTCAGTAGGTTATATCATGCCTAGTCCTACAATGATGCATCATACCCCTAAGAAGACCACCAATGTACAGGGTTAATGTCTTAAAAAAATAAATACATCACAGAGTATATATAAAATGGGGAGAAAACAAAAAAAAAGATTCATTTCTGATCTGACTGAGGATAGAGCAACATGGATTTTTAAGCTCAGAGTATCGTATGAAAATGCAAGAACATACAGGTTCCACTAAAAAAGGAGAATGGATGAAAAATAAAAATGAATGTATCCAAGATTTCATGGATAAGAATCCGGGAGAAACAGGAGTCAATGATGTGTACCTGTATAAGAGAATCAAATTACCGGACCATGAATGTGGACAACTTATAAAAGTAATATTAGGACCATGGCGACCCCAGTATCAGGAATTCAAATGGAAAGTAAAATACGTTTTCGCTCACAAACCAGAGGGACCAGCAAGGACTTGGATTCAAGGGAAATGGATGGAAGAAATCCGTGATTGTATCAAAGATTATGTAAATAAAGTGCTCAAAGAAGGATACGACATCATGGACTGCGCTTGTGAAACAGAATATTTGTACATGAGGAGAACTTTTCCTATTCAAAAAGAACTATGTCAAAGTATTCCATGTTTGTTACTTTAATGTTATTGTGAATTAAAAACCTAGAAAAAAAAATGTCTTATTTTTTTCTCTCTCTCTCTCTTCAACTATAACATTTTTGGTGACACATGACGTCACAATGCATACCGAGCTGTGATTTGAATCTCTGCCAAGATTTTGTGTGTATTGCTTATGCCTGACTCAGCATAACGTCAATCAAACGTCCACAGTAGTATCTCAATAAAAAAACGTAAGTCCAACACATTTTTGCACACCACCCCCTATAAATAAAAAGGTATATAAGGCTTAGCTTTGAGTACACTGAGCTCAATCATGATTTTTTCGTGGAGACTGATTTATTTGATTGACGTAGAAAAGTATTACTGTCATTACTGTGATAGGAAAATAAACCAATGGCGTACATTTACGGTGTATGATTATCCCGGATGGCATCACAGAACTTATCGAATTTGCGAGCATTGTGAAATGCCTTTTCCACACTGGTTTGTGGATGATCCCCCTTCTATGGAGACCTGTGGATGTAACTGGTGTGTGAAATATTTCACATGGAAGTACGGGGTAGAGAATATGGTACCCTTATGGGTCAAAGAAACGAGAAAGAGAGCTTTAAAGAAATGCCTGACTTGCTGGGAGGAAAATACGGAGGGGAGATGGAAGTGTCAACAATGTCGACAGTATCCTTGTTGTGGGAAATGTGTGGAGAACTTTGTCAAGACTTGTTACAGACTTTGTCCCTTATGTAGATATGAAGGAAATAAATCATAAAAAAAATGTTGTTGGGTTTTTTGAGATACTAAAAATAGATTGGATAAGGTTATATAAAGAGGTATGACCCAAAAAGTATTCATTCTGAAAAAGTCAAGTTTAAAAGTCAGACGCCAAAAAAAAAAAATGCAGTATCGTTGGTATTGTGAGAGTTTATTTGGATGTATTTACATGCAGGGACCCTGGATGAAAACTAAAATAGGAGCCATCCTAGATTATTTTGAAAATCATCCAGGTACATCGACTCAAGATGTGTGGTTGGAAAAAAGACAGAAATTCTTACATCCTAAAGGATCTAAGGTGAGGGTCAAAATATACCATCATTATCAGCAGTACAAATGGTTGATCCTAGGTCGTTGTAAATTCCAGACTCGTGTGGTTCTGGCTGAAGGTGAATGGTGTTGGAATATAGAACACTGTCTTCGTGATTTGTTCTGGAACCAGCAAAAAGATGGACTGAGGATTCCTAGCTATTACTGTCCTACAGAGTACCTGTATTGTCGTATTCCTTTTTCCCAGATTAAAGATAGCTTGGAAAACGAAGAGGGCCAATGTTTTGAGACTGTGATTCCTTACAGATCCGAAGAAGAAGAAGAAGAAGTAGTGTAATAATATGTCCAATTAAAATTTTAAAAACAAACAAAAAAAATAGTTGTTATAAATAGAAGGGTCTTAAGTTATTTTATCTCAGTATCTCACTGAACATGACCGAGAGCAGTAGTTTTTACATGACTTTACCCAGTGATGGGTCCATGCAATCTTTTCCGAGTAATACGACGGCTCAATTTAAAACTTTATTACCACAAACAGTCGATTTAACAGATGGACAATGGGAAGTGGCTTTAACAGAATTGATGTATCCCATATCATTGAAAAACATCACAGAAGAGGAAGCTTATTTTGACATCCTGCTTCCTCAATTTTATAGTTCAAAAGTCCAACAACCTAATGTGTTTAAATGGGACAGATTTAAAATGAAAACCATAGATGCGATGCCATTAAGTCAATGTCCTGTCCTATTAGATTGGGTCCATACTGAATTTGGTAATCTCATAACAAAAGACCAGAAAATGGAAATTAAGCGAATTCACTTTAGACTAGGGCCTTACATTCATCCCATGGCTTTAACAAATGAAATCAGTCTTGGACTGGAAAAAACTTTGAAAAAATTATGGAAGTTTTTAGGTGATTCTAAAAAAGAGAGTGATTCTAAAAAAGAGAATGCCATGAAATTAACCTATCATGACAAATATGATAAAGTGATGTATCACTTTAACGGGAGAGAACTTAGAAAATATCCCTTATGCATTCGTTTCCCCACAGCTTTAGCTTATAAGCTAGGAATAGAAAGTAAGAAAGTGATGCTTCAGAACGATACAGAAACCAAATGGATCAACGTGAGTTACATGGGGAACAATACCGTAGATTTATATGAAAATCTGAAATCCATGTACGTGTATTGTGACTTGATTGAACCCCAGACGGTAGGATCCAATGCTTTTTAATTATTAAGAGTGGTTCCTTGTACACTCAATCTGGAAGATAAAAAACAAGCTAAATGGGAACCGGTTCGAGCGGAATATTTGAAACTGAGTAAAAAACATTTCGATAGCATTGAGATTCATATCATGACTCCTTTAGGGACTCCCATGCCTTTTTTAAATGGAAAATCAGTCGTGAAACTTCATTTCAGAAAAGTGTACTGAGATGAGTGTACATCTTTTTTGTTACATCTTATTGGGAGTGATCACTTGTCTGGTATGCTGTCTGTATTGTATTCAACCTTAAGACAGGGAGGTATAAAAGGAGTCCCTGGAGTGCATTTAAGTCAGTCTGACACGAGTCATGAAACATGCAGTATCATCCCGGATTATTGAGACAAAGAGGACACGGACAATTTGTCTATCATAAAGGTTTATTACGTCAAAAAGGACACGGTGTTGTAGGTGGAATTCTCTCTGGATTGGCTGGAGCCCTTACCCCTAATCCTATTGGATTACCATTACTAAATCTTATTCCACGCACTTTGCTTCCATCGCTATTTAAAAAAAGATCTCAAAGAGGAGGAAATTATATAGGATTCCTGTCGGGAATGATACCGAACTTACCTATAATATCCCCGAGTTATAAAAAATCTCAAAGAGGAGGAAATTTTATAGACTTCATGTCGGGAATGGTACCGAACTTACCTATAGGGATGACTTTAAAAGAAGCTGTTCAATTAGGCTCAGGCCGGCGGCGACAAAGAGGTCGAGGATTTCTTAAAGATCTAGTCAAAATGGGTCGTAATCAAGCCTTGATTGCCGGAGCTAAAGTAGGAGCAGATGTGATTAAAAAAAGGAAAAATATCAAAAATGCTCTTTTAACTCATGGACTCAATGCTGTTAAAAATACAGGCTTATTTGCTCTCAATAGAGGAGGAAGTTTAGCTTTTAAAAAGATGAATAAAAAAGGTCAAAAAGGTAAAGGGAGAAGAAAAAGAAGAAGACGGCAGAGAGGGAGAGGAGTTTTGAGAAATTTATTGAAAACGGGAGCTAAACATGCCTTGACTGCTGCTGCTAGAACGGGGTTAGATGTGTTAGAAAATAAGAGATCTTTAAAAGATGCTGTTAAAACTCACGGAGTACAAGCCCTGAGATTGAATCTAGGTAAAAAAAGAAGAAAAAAGACACCTGTGTTAGCCCGAGGAGGTCCTAAGAAGAGAAAAAGGGGTTTAGATATCTTTGATTGACACACTATAAATAGAGGAGTCGAGTGAGATTGACCTTCATTTGTGAAAAATCCATCCTAGTAGACAGACATCATGTTGCAACCAGATTCCTGTGCGTGTGGGATGAACAATTTAGAATTGTTCCAAGTCCCCCCGACTAATATTGCTTTAGAAGACTCCAAATGGGAAGAATATTACCCCATTTCCAGTACTTTAGATTCGGATACGGCTCCTATTGAATTTGAAATTAATGGACAAGGAGATCAATATCTGGATTTATCTCAAACGTATGTTCAAATAGTGTGTAAATTTACCAAAGAGGATGGGACTAATCTGACTGGAGCTGGTAGTACTTGCGCCCCGGTGAATAATATCTTCCATTCTTTGTTTACGGAAATCGATCTCAGTGTCAATGGAAAAATAGTGACTCCGGGCACCGATACTTATCCTTACAAAGCTTATCTGGAGAAATTACTTTCTTACAAACCCAGAACTTTAATGACCCAGATGAGAGCTTGTAGTCTGTGGGAAAAAGATACAGCAGGACACATGGACGAAGTAGGGGTAGCAGACCTTGGAGTGGCTCAAAATAAGACATTTGATGTAACCCCAGGTGCACATGGTGCTGCCGATACTGTGACCATTAATAAACCTATCGTCCCAGAGTTACCGGCCAATTCTAAAAACGAAGGATTTAGAAAACGTCACCAGGCTATCAAAGATAGTAAGAAAATAACCTTGTATGATCGTTTACATCTGGATTTATTTCAACAAGACCGATTTCTACCGAATGGAGTAGATATCCGTTTGAGATTTAATCGAGCTAAACCTCAGTTCTATATGATGATCAAAGATGGAAGTACGGGAAAAGTCAAAATATTGAGCATGATCTTGTGGGTGAGAAAAGTCAAACCCACGGCCGTCATGATGAATGGTATTAATCAAAGTTTGAACACTTACAGAGCTAAATATCCATTGAGAAGAGTCGAAGTGAAAACCTTTACCATACTCACAGGAACTCAATCTAAAATCACAGATCATCTGTTTCAAGGCCAGATGCCTAAACGCATCATTTTAGGTTTTGTGGACAATGCGGCATTTAACGGAGATAAAACTAAAAATCCGTTTCATTTCCAAAACGTGGGAATTAAGAAATTAGATGTCAGTATCAACGGAGAGACCATGAGTACTCGTTGTTTCGAACCTAATTTCAATGAAGATTTATATCTGAGATCTTATCTGAGTTTATATCAAGCACTGGGAAAATTAGGAGAAGATTGGGCCCCGGACATCACCCTAGAAGAGTATAAAAACGGATACACTTTATGGGGCTGGGATTTCACGAAAGATCAAGAAGCGCAATCGGATAAATTCCATATCATAGAAACCGGAAATCTGAGAGTAGAAGTCCAATTTACCAACAATACGGTGAACACCTTAAATTGTGTGGTATATGCAGAATTCGATAATCTGTTAGAAATCAACAAACAGAGAGTAGTCAGTATTGATTATTAATGGATACAGGACAGTTAAAAGAAGTCTTATCCAGAGAATTAAAGAGTTCTTTTGGTGGTGTGTACCCTTTAGATTTATTACCGAATCAATTAAGACCTCAAGAAAAAGCCATTGTGGTGAATACGGATCCTCAAGATAAACCTGGAGAACATTGGGTATGTTTGTATTTGTCCAGTCCAGTCATCGAATATTTTGACTCTTATGGATTTCCTCCCTTACAAAAAGAAATTCAAGATTTTATCCATCGTCATGCTCAACAATGGATTTATAATCCGTACCGATATCAAGCTTGGAATACAGATGTATGTGGACAATATTGCGTGTATTATTTACATCAAAGACACAAGAAGAGAAAAACCGCAGATGAGTGGTTATTCCCCTTTGACCATAGTACAGCATTACAAAGAGATCATTATGTAGCTGAATGGTTTAAAGACACTTATCATAAAAGACCTACGGGTCATGGACAAACTTGTCAATGTTTCTATCAAAATGTATTGTAATTGTTATTGTTCTTGTTATCATTAAAAGAATTGAAAAAAATTTATTCTTGTTTTTTTTTTTTGATAAAAAAGGGGTTTCCCCATGATACTAAATATAGAAAAAAAAAGAGGTATAAATACAAGGTGTAAAATGAAAAATATATCAGTTATTGATGTGTCTTAATCATGGGTAACACGTCTAGTCAAGAAAAGAGTAAAATTCCATTTGGAAAGAGAGTTCTGAGAGAGGAAGATGTGGATAAAGGTATACCAATTCAAATACAGGAGGATGGAACTATTGAGATCCTTTCTCATGAAAAATATAATCAATTATGTCCAGAAAAGGATAATGATGGGAGAGATTACATTGAAAGACCCTTGACTGCAGAAGAAGAATATACCCATTTATTACCAAAAACAGATTATCCTGAAAGACCTAAAAGAAGCTGTGTCCAAAAAAAAAGTATTTTGAGAAAAAAAGATTGACATAAGATTGTAAGAGAAAGAATCATGGTAGAATCTGAATAAATCATTTAAAATTATCTTTGAATTGTTATCTATATAAAAAAAAGAAGTGTCACCAAAAAAAATTCATTGTTTCAAACATGAGTCTGACAGAAGGATGTATCATGGAAATCAGAACTCAATTGTTGAAAGACATTAAAACTCATTATGAGAACCAACATAAAGAAGATCCAGGCAATCATTATATTGCTAAATTTAAAAAGGAGAGATTTAGAAGAGCTGCTAATTGGATATTTAATTTAACTGGAGGTCACCAGGAAGATATAGATCAAATCATTAGAAATGATTATCAATACTTGATCTTACAAAAAGAAATGCATCCAGAAACAGGAAAACTTCATCATGTGAGAGGATTCCTTCAAATGAAACACTGGACCCATGAGAGAAACATGTACAAAATCATTCATGGGTTAACCTGTTTTGATATGTCTCACAGCACACCAGAATTAGAAAGAACATTTTATAAGCAAGGTGACAACTATGAAGAATATGGGACTTTAAAACCTGAAATGAGAAACAAAGAATTAATTCCAAGAGATTGTAGATTTACTTGAATAAATAACATGGAGCTTTTTGTGTGTGTGTGGTTTTTTTTGCCTAGACTGTGAATCAGTATGACGTCATAATCTAAGGTTTTGTGTAGTGTCTGACTCAGCATAACGTAAACAAAACGTACACAGTAGTATCTCAGTAAAAAAAACGTAGGTACAACACATTTTTGCACACCACCCCCTCTGAGGGTATAAATAAAGGTGTGTAGATGATCATGATCAGTTGACCCTTACCATGAGTTAAAGTCAGTTTGGAAAAAAAACAGAGACTATGGATATAGAGGAGGAGAAACAACAGTTATTAGAAAAAATAGAGAGTATGAATATAGATGAGGAAAAACAACAGTTATTAGAAAAAAGATTGATCATGCATATGGAAGAAGAACATTACAGTCCTCAAAGAAAAATGGAAGTGAAAACTCTGGAGGAGGATGAAGAACCTTGTAATGTTTACAAGAAGTATGATGAGATCCATGACTCAAAGGACTCATACAGAAGTTACAGAGTAGCCACTAACTGGACATTTGTCATCCAAGATGTGAGAGAAGAAGAAGACATAGATATGTTCATGAGCTGTGAAGATGAATTTCAATACCTGATCCTAGAAAAGGAAATTCATCCCTGGACAGGAAAAGTGCATCAAATCAGGGGATTCATTCAAATGAAAAAACCTGTAGGAGGACTGAATGTGGCTAGAATTCACTGGTTTGCAGATTTTTGTATGTCTCACAGTACACCAGAATTAGAAAGATTGTTTTACAGGCAAGGTGACAACTATGAAGAATATGGAATTCTGAAACCTGAGAAGAGAAACAAAGAATTAGAGTCCAGAGATGAATTCGGGAAATGGGAAATTGGTGCCTGGAGAGGTTTCCTGGAAAGAAAGAGAGAGAAATGATTGAGTATATGGAAAATTCAGATTAAAATTATTTTTAACAGTTTTATTGTTGTTATTTATTTTGTTCAGGTTATATATATAAAAAGGTGTGACAATGAAAAAAAAAATTTATTTCCAAACATGAGTTTACAGGAGATACCAGGAGATTTATTACACTTTCCTGTAGAAGCTATTGTACATCAATGTAATTGTTTGACTGTAAAAGCTCATGGATTGAGTCAAAGTATAGCTATGAAATACCCCAGAGCTAATCTCTATGCGACCCGCAGACCTTTAAGGTCTAGAAATTTAGCCCTAGAAGAAGATAGAGGAATTCCAGGCACCCTTCAAGTGTTTTCTTTACAAAAACCTGTAGTCATTTGTCTGTTAGCTCAATGGGATTATGGCACAGGACATTATAATCGCCTACCTTATTATCAAGATACACCAGAAAATAGAGAAAAATGGTTTCAAGCTTGTTTACAAGAATTGGGCACTTTACCTTACCAGACTTATGCCTTTCCTTATAAAATAGGATGTGGTTTAGCAGGAGGAAATTGGACACATTATAGACAATATATTGAACAATTTGTACACACTTATCAAAAACAAGTGTACATTCTTCATAAACATTGATTGTGTGTGTGTGTGTGTGTGTGTGTGTGTGTGTGTGTGTGTGTGTGTGTTATAAAGATTGTGTTATAAATAAAATAAAATAAAAAATGTGTTTATGTTATTTTATTTTTAAAAAAAAAAGATTCATGTTTTACAAAAAAAAAAAAATAGTGACCTGGTGTTGATAAGTTTTCTATAACCTTGAATGTTCTTAAAAAGGTATCTATTCGAATGATTAAAGTGGCCCTTAAAAGGGCCATTGATACGTTTCTATAACCTTGAATGTTGTTAGGTATCTTTTCGTATAGGTATCTATTCAAAATAAGTGGCCCTTAAAAGGGCCGTTTCTATAACCTTGAATGTTTTAGAGGTATCTTTTCGTATAGGTATCTTTTCAAAATAAGTGGCCCTTAAAAGGGCCGTTGATACGTTTCTATAACCTTGAATGTATTAGAGGTATCTTTTCGAATCATTGGAGTGGCCCTTAAAAGGGCCGTTGGTTGATTTTTTTTTATCAAGGGTTTACTCCCTGAGAGGCCTGCCTCTACCTCTGCCTCTGCCTGAGAGGGGAGGTAACTGGTTACCGGTCAACGGCTCCATAAAGTCTGGCCTTCCGGGTCGGGGTAGAGATGACTCTCTTGGAGGAGGGGGTCTCAATCCTCGCCCGCGAGCTGCATATCTCGAAAGCCTGCGTCTACACAGAGGGCAACATTGGTTCATCTGTACCAGCACAGCTGAACACTCGAGACAAGCCGGTCGACGGCGACACTGACAGCAGATGTAATTGGACATCCGATCCTCCTCCAAGCAAACTGAACAGGAATCCAGCCTGCCTGCTGCAACTTGAATCCCCCATCTAGGAATTGGCCCCGTAGTACTCACACCTGGTGACATCTCCGGGGTCGGGGGTGGTGGTCTAGCCAGTTCCGGGGAAGGTGCCCAGTCATCGTTGACGGGAGGGGGCCAATCCGAATCAACGGATGAAGAAGCCCCCTGTCCAGCCCAATCGTTGTTAACGGGAGGGGTCCAATCCGAATCTACGGAGGAATCCCACTGTCCAGCAGCTGCTCCCGGGGGATGACTGGGTGACCAGGTAGGAGTTGGTGGTCTTCTTGGAGGGGACGGGCTTCTCGGGTGGTCCTCGAGTAGTTCCGGACTACTCAGAGGGGCCGAATAAGAAGCAGCAGGTGTTGAATCTGTCCTCCTCCTTCTCCTTGGCTGGTCATCTTCGTTAGTAGAAGACCTATGTCGTCGTCGTCTTCGTCGTCTTCTTCTTTCTTGTCTCCTTCCCCTAATCATGTCACTGGCTAGGCCCAGGGTAGCTATCGGCCAGCGAGCTAACTCCCTGCCGGTGGCTACGTCTCTGACGATCCAAACATTTTCAATCTCTACCCCTGGAAATATGTAAAAGTTTTGGACATCGTCCTCAGCCATACTGATACGGTGTCAGCAGAACTGATACTAACAGAATGACACCGAGCTCTGGCAAGCTGCCGTATTTATGCGCACATCACGAGCGTAAAAGAGAGCACCCCTAAACCGAGAGCCAAAAAAATCATGGCGACGTCAAATTGTGTTATTTTGTGCTTCATAATCTATACTTTGGAGTGAATAACTTATTATGGGATTAGAAATACATGGTAACATCTTACCCATCAGATGAAGGTAAGTTTCAGGCATGATTTCATAGTATTTTTGATGCATGACATTTATCTGTCGTCTAGAAAAGAAGCATTGATGTTGAACCGAAGGGGTAAAATCGGGTCACCTGAATACATCAAATAAGTATTTTTACCTTTTTTAAAGTGTGATACAAGGAAAACTTAATCTATACAATGAGATTAAACCTAGAGAAAAGTGTTGATGCTGTTTTTAAATCAAAGGAATGGTTTCAAGTGTAAAAATATAGCCAGAGTCGGTTTAGGCATAGACACAAGAAGGCGAAGGTCG